GCCATGCAGCCTGGAAACTTCCCAGCAGTCTTCTGGGACAATGCTAAGGCTTACATTGTTTGAATCACTGTCTTGTGCTGCCTGTTTTCCAATGACTATAAACTGTTATTTTATATATTTTGTCTGATTTTTGCTAAGCCATTGTTTTGTTAATTTTTAACATTACTTACTAATGGCTTGGAAGACTAATTTATAGTGATTCTATTACTATTCATAGTTTAAGTGTATATACATCCATGTTGGATAGATAAGTGTTCAGATATAAAATTATCATGGAAGCTCATGGGATGTAATGACTGAGGAGATCTTAAGACAGCAAAATATTTTACAAATATTAACTTATGATTTTGGGTCTCATTTGCATGCCATATAATGTTGATTGCCTTGAAAACAAGGAGGTCTCAATGTTTATGTTCTGGTTCCCAGCGCGAGTGCATCTCTATCCACGTGGGGCAGGCAGGTGTCCAGATCGGCAATGCCTGCTGGGAACTGTACTGCCTTGAACATGGAATTCAGCCTGATGGTCAGATGCCAAGTGACAAAACCATCGGCGGTGGGGATGACTCGTTCAACACGTTCTTCAGCGAGACTGGGGCTGGCAAGCATGTGCCCAGAGCGGTATTTGTGGACCTGGAGCCCACCGTGGTCGGTAGGTACTGGGGCACTTGGCGGCTTTCCTGGGACAGTGGGAGGGCCTCCCTGTGCTCCCTTGACTCCTTCCACAGAAAGGATGGGACGTGCAAGTATATGCCTGTGGCTGAGTTAGGTGAGAAACTACAGGGTTAGTGCTTCAAGTGTCCTTGGCACCGAGGCTCCTAATTTAGGAGAACCTAATGTACAGAAAAGAGGGACTGGTAACAGATTCACTCGTGGCCGCCTCAGACCCAGGCAGGTGGTTGCGTGGACCCCACCTTCAGGGTGCCGGGTCTCGGGTCCCTCCTTAACGCTGCACACATGGAGATGCTGGTGCACAAGAGTCATGACCTGCGTCTTAGACACGGAAGGTAAATAGAGAACATTCCTTGGGATCCTCCAGCTGAGAAGCCTGAGGCGGTGGCCAGGGAGAGCTGCAAAGAGAGGGCACCTTTCAGGGGCCACCCAGGAGAAGACAGAACGTCAGCCTGAAGCCTGTGAGCCACAGGCCACCTAGGATGCCCTGACGGGACTGCCTGGCAGAGGTCATGCTGACCTGGTGACTGTCTAGTATGTCAGGGCTTTTTAGTCACACTCCTTGCGTGTAGCTACAGATGGGAAGAAATAATCGTGTGTGTGCAGGTGTGAGCTCTTTCCCTTCTTTGGGAACCAGTCAGATTGGACTTTGTACCTCCAGTGGACTTCCCCTGCTAGATCCACAGACCGCAGTTGTGGTCTGCACGTCACACAGAGACATTTCCTGTGAGACACCGATGCTGCCGACCCCCAAGGCACGGCCTGTGCGTGGTAGATGCAGAGAGTCCCCGAATCCCTCCCCCTCGGTGAGTTAACAACAGGCCTTAAAGACCCGCGGCCCACGCGTCCTCTCTGTAGATGAAGTGCGCACGGGGACCTACAGGCAGCTCTTCCACCCAGAGCAGCTGATCACCGGGAAGGAGGACGCAGCCAATAATTACGCCAGAGGCCATTATACCATCGGCAAGGAGATCGTCGACCTGGTCCTGGACCGGATCCGGAAACTGGTAAGGGGGCGCCGAGAGGGCTTCCCGTGGACGCTGCCCTGGACGGGAGGATGGCGGGGATGGGGACCAGGAGGTCACTTTGGCCAAACCCCAGGCCGGAATCTTGAGTCCACGTCTTCCTTCACGGGTGGCTTCAGTGCATCCATCGTCCACCCATCTTCACGTCTGCCTTGCTTTGCTTCTGAGTGTCACGCGTGTGCACCGCAGCCGATTCGAACGCGTAGCGTCCTGCAGAGGAAAAGAGGAGTGACCGTGGCTCGTTGGAGGTCGGCGGTGTGGCTTCTGCAGGCACTGACCCACGGTCTGTGCTTGCTTTCAGGCGGATCTGTGCACGGGGCTGCAGGGCTTCCTCATCTTCCACAGTTTCGGGGGCGGCACCGGCTCTGGCTTCGCGTCTCTGCTCATGGAGCGGCTGTCGGTGGACTACGGCAAGAAGTCCAAGCTGGAATTTGCCATTTACCCAGCCCCCCAGGTGTCCACGGCCGTGGTGGAGCCCTACAACTCCATCCTGACCACCCACACGACCCTGGAGCATTCCGACTGTGCCTTCATGGTGGACAACGAAGCCATCTACGACATATGTCGGCGCAACCTGGATATCGAGCGGCCCACGTACACCAACCTCAATCGTCTGATCGGGCAGATCGTGTCCTCCATCACGGCCTCCCTGCGATTCGATGGGGCCCTGAACGTGGACTTGACGGAATTCCAGACCAACCTGGTCCCGTACCCCCGCATCCACTTTCCCCTGGCCACGTACGCCCCGGTCATCTCTGCCGAGAAGGCTTACCACGAGCAGCTGTCCGTGGCCGAGATCACCAACGCCTGCTTCGAGCCGGCCAACCAGATGGTCAAGTGTGACCCTCGGCACGGCAAGTACATGGCCTGCTGCATGTTGTACAGGGGGGACGTGGTCCCGAAAGATGTCAACGCGGCCATCGCCACCATCAAGACCAAGCGCACCATCCAGTTTGTGGATTGGTGCCCGACTGGATTTAAGGTAGGACTGGGTAATGTGGTGTGGTTTTACCTGTCAGCAGCAGCAGACCAAGCACAGAATGCCCTTTTTGGAGAATACCCCCGTTCCATGGCAGCTAGGCTGCAAGGAAAACAAGTTTAGTAATTAATTTGCCAAGGGTCTATCAACTACTTCGTGTACCCTTATTTCTTAGAAACACCCTATTACGTTCCCCGGGGTAGTATTACTAACATCTTAACAGTTTAAAGACTGAGCTGAGACAGCTGTTAGTATCTTAAAGGCCCCATGGGCAGCAAGTGATGGAGAGCACAGAGACAGACTGACTGTAGGCCTGGTCTCTCCACATTTCTCTATTGCTTATGTAAGTTTGTTAGGTCTGTGGTGTTGTTTTGGATTAGAAATAGTGTTTTTTAGACTTTACATAACTTAAGCCATCTCTATTCACTGCAGTTTAGGCAAAACTTACATGTCTGTAAGCAGAATTTTAAATTGGTCACACAGTATTTACTATAGGGGCTGAAGAGTTCACTCCTGTTTCTCCAAACCACACTGGGAATGCTGTGTCACACATAAAATCACATTGATAATAGGTGGCTCCTTCAACTGTGTTTAGTGTCACGATGAAACGTCTGCCAAGAAAAAGGGAACATGTACTTGGAAGCCAAATAACAGAATGTCAGGCTCTTGACCTATTGTGATAATGCAGCTAAGTGCCTCACCATGCCTGAGTTTGAGAACTCTGTGCCCTCTTTAAAAGTGGTTGTTCACCCTTGGTTTTCTGCACTTGACAAAGTTGTGGACCCTGCATTTGTACGTCCTGATGATTTCCTGAGGTGTTTGGAGAGTTGTATGTTCCAGAGTCATTCCAGATTGAAAATGATGAGAAGCAGAAGAAATGGGTATCATCTGGTCCCATCTGGAATGGCTGTAGCTTACCTGTACGGAAGTTGTTGAACCTGTCTGGCCCTGTCAGCCCCCACTTTTGTCTGTGTCGGATACGTTGACACAGATCATCTCTGAGGGCATAAAATTGATGGGTTTAAAGTGACTCACAGGGAAGGGTAAACTTTATGACAGGTTTCACCAATCTGGAAATAGCCACTGATCTTACATGGGAAGTTTGCAGAACTTAGAACTTAGAGGTTAGAGGTCAAAGTTGAAACCTTCAATTGTGTGTGTAATTGCCACGTTCTTGAGTGGAGGAAGTTCTCTTTCAGTCACTGTGACCTTCAAAAGGTAAGGATATCCAAGACAGCTTCAGCTGGGAGGCATTGTGGGGGGTGCCTTGTGCCCAAGCTTCCTCTCCTGAATCTCTGGCTCTTCTGAACCAGCAGGGAGGGCCAGTCTATGAGGAGGTACAGGAAGCCACAGCTTTTACTGTCCCTACATAGGACAGTCCAGCCCCAGAGGGATTGTATTGCATTCTCATTGCTCTAAGCTCCTTGTCACCTGGAGTGTGGTTTCACTCTATGTTCTGTAACCATTTGCTCAGGGATACACTACATTCAAGGAGTCATTTCTATGCTTAAATGTATTTAGTTTTTTATTATAAAAATGCATATATATGGCAAAACTTAACAATGTAGAAGGCTGAAAAGCTAAAGTCCTCTTCCCCTTCCCCGGAGCTTGCTTTGTTCTTCATTCTGTGCATTTTCAAGGGAATTTGTACTTTTTGTTTTCTGGGTGATGTCGAGGCCAGCAATATGGTTAGAGCATGCAAGTTCTTTTCTTGTCTGTGACGGAGTTGACTCAGTACACACAGCCAAAGAGAGCAGGGAACTGGTGGTGCTCCCACTTGGGAGGGACCAGCTGGCCCGGCCTTAGAGCTGTGGGAGGGCACCCCTTGGATCAAGGTCAGAACCCCTGGGCCCATGTCTCTCCCCCTAACAATTCTAGAGACTGGCTGTGTGCCTAGCTGCTGCTAACTGGTCTGTGCTCACCAGGACACTGCCTCAGCACACTCCCAGGTGTTTATCCTCCTCCATAATGAGGTTCCCCTAGCCTTCTAGTCTGTTATCCTAAGGTGTTTTTAAGCATAAATACTCACATAGTAACCAACTTGCTTTTCTTTTTGCCTAGTATATACCTTGAACGTGTTTATATGCCAAGACAGATTTCTCATTCTTTTTCATGATCAGTGTTTCACTAAATGGGTCTATAAAAATTTAGTTTGCCATGATGGACATTTGTTTCTAGTTTTGCCATTAGAAACAGTATTTTAAACTAAATACATAAAAATGTTTATATATGTAGCTTTGTGCTCTTGTGTGGGTAAATCCAAAAATTGAAAGCATATGGTCAAAGGATATTAAATTTTGATCAGTACTGTCAAAAAATAAAGTACCAGTTTATATAGGGCATCATTTAACCTAGGTCTACAGCTCGTTTTTAAAAAACAAGCTACTGGCGTGCCTGGGTGGCTCAGTTGGTTAAGCATCTGCCTTTGGCTCAGGTCGTGGTCCCAGGGTCCTGGGATTGAGCCCTGCATCAGGCTCCCTGCTCCTCGGGAAGCCTGCTTCTCCCTCTCCCACTCCCCCGCTTGTGTTCCCTCTCTCTCGCTGTGTCTCTGTCAAATAAGTAAAATCTTTAAAAAAGAGAGAGAGACGCTTGGGACACCTGGGTGGCTCAGTCGGTTAAGTGGCTGCCTTTGGCTCAGGTCATGATCCCAGGGTCCAGGGGTGGAGTCCCATATTGGGCTCCTTGCTCAGCGGGGAGCCTGCTTCTCCCTCTGCCAGGTCTGCCTGCCACTCCCCCTGCTTGTGTGCTTTTTCTCTCTCTGACAAATAAAATCTTTTAAAACAAATTTTAAAAAATTTAAAAATCTGCTTTAAAAAAAAAGTCAGTCGCTTAACTGACTGAGCCACCCAGGCGCCCCGAGGTTGGAGATTTTATAAAATCAGTAATCATTTTTGCTTCATTATGAACATTCTTAAATGAAATTGACCTTTTTTTTCTTTTGTCTTTTTACTGTGAGTGCATAAATGTGAAGAATCTAATGAACACTGGTACAGTTTGGTGCCACTACTTTGATTTGTGCTCAAGCACCCCAGTTTTACCCATCTAATTATTCACCATCAATGCAATTGTGAACATGGTGAGAAGGACTGGTCACCTCAGCAGTCCTGACTGAAATTGCTTTAATTTCCATGTATCCTGAACAGGTGTATGGATCTCCAGTGGCCTGGGAACTCCAGATAACTTTGAGAACTGTTGCTGGGTAGGGAATCAATAGAAACAATAGATCGTTGACAGGAAGCATAGCTTTATGGTAAAAGAATGAGGAGAGCAGAAAGTCTGCACATTTGCTGGCTGGAAGTTGAAGCTTCTGGGTAAGTAGGGAACAAGGTTATCTGCCACAAATATGAAGAGAGCAGTTGGACTGGAGCTTGAAAAGAACAGAGGAAGTTTCAAATAATTTTTCAGAGAGGAGATAAAGCTGACTAAAGAAATGTAAGATTTTAATGACCCAGGTGAGGTTGGCAATGAATTTATAATGGCTTTCTGTTGAAAGCTAGGAATGATTTTTCTGACTGCTTTTGATTTGTTTCATTGGTTAGATAATCAGATGAAAGTGGCCTTGCAGATCACCTAGCATGTCAGTCCCCATTTTTTTTAAAGATTTTATTTATTTATTTGTCAGAGAGAGTGTGAGCACAAGCAGGGGGAGCAGCAGAGGGCGAGGGAGAGAAGCAGGCTCCCTGCTAAGCAGGGAGCCCGATGTGGGACTCCATCCCAGCACCCTGGGACCGTGACCTGAGCCGAAGGCAGCCACTTAACTGACTGAACCACGCAGACATCCCACGTCAGTCCCCATTTTGTAAAAGAAGAAATTGAGGGATTTGCTCAGGGTACAGAGCTTGCAGTGATCATAGTGGGACTGAGTGAGTAGAAAACCAAATCAGGCATTCTGTGAAGTACCGGCTGCTTGGATTTAAGTAAGCCAAACTGAACAATACAGATTTGCAAATGGTGTGATTGGGTGGATTCCAAGACTTCCCAGAGTGTTGACATCATTCTCTGAAGGAGTGAGTTCCTTGTCATTGGAGAAGTTCTTTCTGGAACTGAATGCTTCCTTCTGGGGTAGATTCTTGGGGGATTGCAGCATAGTGTGAATCTCTGTGCCCCTAATTTGAGACGATGCTTGTGTAATAGAAAACAGGACTTCAGGTTCTTGGTGTATTATATACATTAGGATTTAGAGTAGATGGGACACCTTGAATTTTATTTGATTTCCTCTATGTATTTGTAAGGATAATGTGTCTAAAATAGAATAAATGATTAATGACTGCAGTTAGGTTCCTGGCAGGAAAGGTGTGATGCAAAATATGTACTTTGAGGGAAATCTTTAAAAAGGTACTATCTATAAAGCTATGGGCAGGGTCTAAGGAAACCACCAAAGGACAGTGCACTGTTGTAACATTTGTGATGTCTGGTAGCCTTTAACTCCTAGCTTTGAAGGTGAAGTGAGGGAGTAGTTACTAGAAGTTGAGAAGGTAGCTTTATGAAGAGCACTGACTGCTGAAAGTTTGTGGCCTTGTCTTTACACTCAAGGAATCCATGGCAGTATGGCAGGGGTAGCAGGGAGTGAGCACGCTGACCACATTGTCCTCCAACCTCCCAGTCTCCTGCTGATGCCTGCCATTGGCTAAAGCAACCAGAAGCCAGGGGCAAGGAAGCCCTTTTAATGCAGTCCACATGGGTCAGCCTCCATGAACACAAACATAGATGGAGAAAAATAGAGGGTAGATGTAGATGGGTAGATAGAAGACACACACACAGTGACACCTGAGCTGTGGTGCACTGTGTCCTAGTACAGTTTTCCTTCCCTGAGTCTATATTACCTATTACCCTGTTATTGGACAGGACACCATCAAAAACTAGTATTCTTTAGAGAATAACTATGACTAGCCATAATGCGAAGTTTACTATTGACAGTACATGTATAGTAGCAAATACTTTTGTGTAGGGGCTAAGTCTGGCACTTATAGCTAGGGTGGTTTAGAGCACCTCAGTTTTCACAGTGACAAAAGAGTCACATAAGCCTTCTGGGAAAGACTTGTAAAAGCTTTAGACACTGAAACATACATATATATGTTATGTTTTACATGCTATATAGTGTCGATTGCCTTGAAAACAAGGAGGTCTCAATGTTTATGTTCTGGTTCCCAGCGCGAGTGCATCTCTATCCACGTGGGGCAGGCAGGTGTCCAGATCGGCAATGCCTGCTGGGAACTGTACTGCCTTGAACATGGAATTCAGCCTGATGGTCAGATGCCAAGTGACAAAACCATCGGCGGTGGGGATGACTCGTTCAACACGTTCTTCAGCGAGACTGGGGCTGGCAAGCATGTGCCCAGAGCGGTATTTGTGGACCTGGAGCCCACCGTGGTCGGTAGGTACTGGGGCACTTGGCGGCTTTCCTGGGACAGTGGGAGGGCCTCCCTGTGCTCCCTTGACTCCTTCCACAGAAAGGATGGGACGTGCAAGTATATGCCTGTGGCTGAGTTAGGTGAGAAACTACAGGGTTAGTGCTTCAAGTGTCCTTGGCACCGAGGCTCCTAATTTAGGAGAACCTAATGTACAGAAAAGAGGGACTGGTAACAGATTCACTCGTGGCCGCCTCAGACCCAGGCAGGTGGTTGCGTGGACCCCACCTTCAGGGTGCCGGGTCTCGGGTCCCTCCTTAACGCTGCACACATGGAGATGCTGGTGCACAAGAGTCATGACCTGCGTCTTAGACACGGAAGGTAAATAGAGAACATTCCTTGGGATCCTCCAGCTGAGAAGCCTGAGGCGGTGGCCAGGGAGAGCTGCAAAGAGAGGGCACCTTTCAGGGGCCACCCAGGAGAAGACAGAACGTCAGCCTGAAGCCTGTGAGCCACAGGCCACCTAGGATGCCCTGACGGGACTGCCTGGCAGAGGTCATGCTGACCTGGTGACTGTCTAGTATGTCAGGGCTTTTTAGTCACACTCCTTGCGTGTAGCTACAGATGGGAAGAAATAATCGTGTGTGTGCAGGTGTGAGCTCTTTCCCTTCTTTGGGAACCAGTCAGATTGGACTTTGTACCTCCAGTGGACTTCCCCTGCTAGATCCACAGACCGCAGTTGTGGTCTGCACGTCACACAGAGACATTTCCTGTGAGACACCGATGCTGCCGACCCCCAAGGCACGGCCTGTGCGTGGTAGATGCAGAGAGTCCCCGAATCCCTCCCCCTCGGTGAGTTAACAACAGGCCTTAAAGACCCGCGGCCCACACGTCCTCTCTGTAGATGAAGTGCGCACGGGGACCTACAGGCAGCTCTTCCACCCAGAGCAGCTGATCACCGGGAAGGAGGACGCAGCCAATAATTACGCCAGAGGCCATTATACCATCGGCAAGGAGATCGTCGACCTGGTCCTGGACCGGATCCGGAAACTGGTAAGGGGGCGCCGAGAGGGCTTCCCGTGGACGCTGCCCTGGACGGGAGGATGGCGGGGATGGGGACCAGGAGGTCACTTTGGCCAAACCCCAGGCCGGAATCTTGAGTCCACGTCTTCCTTCACGGGTGGCTTCAGTGCATCCATCGTCCACCCATCTTCACGTCTGCCTTGCTTTGCTTCTGAGTGTCACGCGTGTGCACCGCAGCCGATTCGAACGCGTAGCGTCCTGCAGAGGAAAAGAGGAGTGACCGTGGCTCGTTGGAGGTCGGCGGTGTGGCTTCTGCAGGCACTGACCCACGGTCTGTGCTTGCTTTCAGGCGGATCTGTGCACGGGGCTGCAGGGCTTCCTCATCTTCCACAGTTTCGGGGGCGGCACCGGCTCTGGCTTCGCATCTCTGCTCATGGAGCGGCTGTCGGTGGACTACGGCAAGAAGTCCAAGCTGGAATTTGCCATTTACCCAGCCCCCCAGGTGTCCACGGCCGTGGTGGAGCCCTACAACTCCATCCTGACCACCCACACGACCCTGGAGCATTCCGACTGTGCCTTCATGGTGGACAACGAAGCCATCTACGACATATGTCGGCGCAACCTGGATATCGAGCGGCCCACGTACACCAACCTCAATCGTCTGATCGGGCAGATCGTGTCCTCCATCACGGCCTCCCTGCGATTCGATGGGGCCCTGAACGTGGACTTGACGGAATTCCAGACCAACCTGGTCCCGTACCCCCGCATCCACTTTCCCCTGGCCACGTACGCCCCGGTCATCTCTGCCGAGAAGGCTTACCACGAGCAGCTGTCCGTGGCCGAGATCACCAACGCCTGCTTCGAGCCGGCCAACCAGATGGTCAAGTGTGACCCTCGGCACGGCAAGTACATGGCCTGCTGCATGTTGTACAGGGGGGACGTGGTCCCGAAAGATGTCAACGCGGCCATCGCCACCATCAAGACCAAGCGCACCATCCAGTTTGTGGATTGGTGCCCGACTGGATTTAAGGTAGGACTGGGTAATGTGGTGTGGTTTTACCTGTCAGCAGCAGCAGACCAAGCACAGAATGCCCTTT